CTCCAGAGAGACACCGTTGCTCTTGAGTACTTTAGAGAGGTCCCTAACAGCAGACTTTCCCATCGCAATACGTTTTTTTATTTCCTGGTTGCTGGTGCCAAGAGTGTTGACCGTGGAGCCGAGCAAACTGAAGCTGTGAACAATCTCAATCTCTCGCCATCCATCCTGATGCTACTGATTGGTCCAGTGGTGAGAATCTTTGTCTTCTTGACATTGAGTCTCAGTCCATACTGAAGGCTGCAGTCCTTGACCCTCTGCAGCAAGTGCATGAGGTCTCCTCAGTTTCAGCAAGCAGGGTTGTGTCATCTGCATAACGCAGATTGTTAATAGATCTTCCACCAATCCTAACACCACACTTCTTCTCATAGAGCCTAGCCCCCCGGATAATCTGTTCTGCATACAGGTTGAAAAGGTATGGAGATAGGATGCATCCCTGGCGTACACCCTTCCCAATTTTGAACCATGCAGTGTTCCCTTGCTCTGTTCTGACGACTGCCTCTTGGTCCAAGTATAGGTTTCACATTAGCACGATTAAATGTTCTGGGATTCCCATTCTTCTCAGAGTCAGCCACAGTTTGTTGTGATCCACACAGTCAAATAAATGCCTTTGCATAATCAATGAAACACAGATAGACATTCTTCTGGTATTCTCTGCTTTCAGCTAAAATTCATCTAACATTAGCTACAATATCCCTAGTACCATGACCCCTTCTAAACCCAGCCTGGACTTCTGGCAGTTCTCTGCTGATGTACTGTTCCATAATAGTGAATAACTTTATAAAATATAATGAATGGGGATGATTGTATGAACGCAATGTGATTGAAGGGTAATGTGAAACACAATGTATATGAACTTTGTAAGCAAACTAATATAAGAATTAAAAAAGAAAACAACCTTTCTGTAGGGTGGCAGGGAAACTCTCAGAATGCCCTACTACTGTATTGATCTAAAATGTAGCATAATTAATGCAGATCTACAAAAGCCTTATGCATATACTAATTAATTTCAGTCTTCCAATTTGTTTGCATTTTTTTAAATCATGCTAGAGAATAGGCTCTTGTCTTCTAATCAGCTGCCCACTATAATAGCTAGGAGCATGGAAACCAATTTCAGAGTTTTATGTGGGATTCTTTTGCCTTAAAGAGTTTAAATATTCCTTAAGATTGTACCTTACAAACATACTGGAAACTCCTTACTGGGAGTGCACAGTGCACATATGCTGTTGCAGAAGCTTACCAGGATTCCCTAAACCAAGGTTAGTTCCTTGCTACAGTTGAAGAATGGAGAGAGAGGCCTTGGGCTTTTGGACAAATAATGTGTATTTACTTTCCAGGAAATACTGGATTTTTCTCTCATCATATAAATAAAAAGAGAAGTGGTATTTGATGAGTAATGAAAGGATAAAATATGACCAGAACTGTCTTTGAAAATGATTCTTGGAAGCAGAGCTTCCAGGAGAGCAGGCAGCCCGAATTGGCATCCGTTTTGTGAGCTCAGACTTCATACTGCTTGTGCCCTCTGCTGGATAGAATCTGACTTTTCTAATTATCACTCAAAAGTGGTCATCCATCCACTCATCCTTACTTCAAAGTTTGTGAGTAAGGGGAGGTTTAGAGGTAATATAGAGGGGTAGATTCTGTTCTGTTATTCAGTGAGCTGATCCATTATGGGAGCTCTGGTGGTCTAGTGGGTAAGGAGTTGTGCTGCCAGATTAAAGGCAGGAGGTTTAAAAATAACCTGCTGCTCCTCAGGAGAAAAATGGGCAGTCTCCTGTTACATGATTTACAGTCTATGAAAAACCACCAGAGGGTTCGCTGGGAGTCACTTTTGCCTTGAGGGCACATAAAGACAACAACACTATTAAATTAAAATACTTTGTTGTTTTAGGGCTTTTCCTGGTACCTGCTTCTTGATCTCAAGTCAAATTAGGATTCTGAATCTCCCATTACAAAGATAAAGATTAGGGAAGATCTGCTTATTAAGGATAAGATCTGTGAGGTTGAAGGGGCCAGATGCTTTCTCCTATTAGGAAGAAGAGTTTAGATTAAGTGAACCAACCCCCTTAGCAGCAGGCACTGAATGCTGGCAAGAGAATAGTTTATAAGAGCTGGCGTTGTGACAAGTTATAGGTTCTTTCTCCCCTCCCCCAAACTGTACCAGTAGCTGTACTCTCATCATCTGCTCTGCTTCTGCCACCTGCAGTGGGGTCTGGAGAGTGGGGGAGGAGCATGCAGCTGTTGTCTGGAAGAGGAGCTGGCTCCTAGCAACCATATCATTGGGCGCTGCAGCTCTGAATACTGACTCTCTTCCTTGCATTTAGTGCACGTATCTAATAGTAGGCCACATACTATTATTTTTTTTTTCACATACTATTATTAAGGAGCCCTGGTAGCCTTGTGAGTAAGCAGTTGTGCTACCAAATTAAGGGCAGGGGGTTTGAATCCACCAGCTGCTCCACAATCTTTTCCTGTGTAATTTCCACCCTCTTAAAACCCACTAGAGGGTCAGCAATGAGTCATTTCTGACTTGAGGCACATAACAACAACTTAATGGAAAGAAAGAGAAATCAAATAAATGCCTTGCCTTCCGTGGTGCTAAGGGCATGTGGCATATTAGGTTCGAGATATGAGATATTTTGGGAGAACCAGACGGACACACACTGGAGTAGAGGTTAGAGAAGGTTTCACAGGACAGAGCTGGTGGTTGAGCTGAGTTACAGATGAGTAGGAATTAGGCTAGGGAGGCAGAAAAGGTATTTAAGTCTGGAGCAAAGCAAAAGAGGATGTCAGCCTCACCTGATTATTATGGCAAAAAGGGATGAGCAGGACTGAGTAAAGCTCTAGGGCTAGGCAAGGCCCTGTTTCCAGATGTGCACTTTACATACATAATTATCCTTGAGAGAAACATGCATAGTGGTGATTCCCACAAACATAGTCATTGTTTGATCTTCTGAGACTCAACATTTTTTTATCAGTAACTTAATTGCTTGCATCCGTAAGTAGTGTCAGAGTCACATCCTGGTCCTGCATTGATGTGATTAAATCACTATAAAAGTCAAAATAGGTGAGCTCTGGTGGCCTAGTGGCAAGAAGCTGCAACTGCAAACTCAGAGGTTCACAGTTCAAATCCATCAGATGCTCTGCTAGAGAAGGAGGAACAATGTCCTCCTGTACCAGTCAGATCTGATTTGACGGTACACACAAAAAATAATGAAATTTAAAAAAAAAAGTCAAAATAATCTTTTAGGAGTAATACCAGTTTTTTTTACCTGTTACTTGAAATTTTACTTCACTCCTCTCTTTAAATTGTTGTAGAAATCATAATCATACACCTTCATTATATTTAGTATAGCAATTCCTAGTGAATTTTGGAATTTCACAGTTAAATCAGAAAACTATTCCCATTCATTTGGGTAAAATGTTACCCACATGATTGCAGAAATTTTAGCCTTAATCCAAAGGTGTCTTGATAAACACTTTAATAAAGAAAGTATTTCCATTAACTTTTATTTAGCTCTTACTGTGGAGGTCTTTATCTGTAGATTAAAAAACCTCTGTTGCTTGTAGTTTTAGCAAGTAATTATAAAAAGTTCCTTTTTGAGTTACTAATGTCCTACCTTACTAGCTTACAGCTCTTACTTACTCTTTGATGATATGTAAATTTGCCCCCACTTTGAAATTATTGAACCAACCTTTTCTGGAAATGAATTTTTCATCACAATCACTTTCATTTGCTGTATGGACAACTTTTAAGATATTGCAAAGACTTGGAGTCTTTTCTTATGCTGAAGTCTGCATCTTTTGTGAGTTAACTACAAGTTCTTAAAGACACAGTTCATGACGAGGATTATCTGTAAGCCTTGAATTAAACCTAAAACATGAATTAAACATGGTTCTTCCTCACAGAGCTCAGACTGGAGGAAAGGCAGTCCCAGAGACAAGTCAGCAACAAAACAGTGAGCCAGATTCAACAATAAGTGTGTGGAAGATGCCTAGGTGGCAAGTGAGTTATTTAGTCTTTGTAGGTAAACACATTTTAAAAAACAAATGGAAAATTGCCATGTGTACCACAGATTTGTCCTAGAGAGGATGAAACCAGACATCTCCTCAGAGGCAAAGATTCTGAGGCTTCTTCTGCCATACTTTGGGCACTTTGCAAGGAGGGACCAGTCCTTGGAGAGTGGAGGGACAGTACAAGGGAAGAAGACCATCTGTGAGATGGATTGATTTAGTGACTGAGGTAATGGGGGTGGGTATGTCAGAGACAGTTAGGTTTGCACAGGATAGAGCAGGTTTCAAGGCTATTGTACATAGGGTCACTATGAATCGCAAGCAACTCAACAACACATAACAACAGCTATTTATAACCGGAAAAGGTATAAAAGTTTTAATGCTTATTCTATGATCTGAATGTATTATGATTTTCACTAAAAACCTGTTGTTGGGCATTTAAGTTGTTTCCATTTGTTCTATGAATATAAACTGTTGCCTTGAATTAACTTTATGAGGAATCTTTGCCTACATTTGAATTTGGAAATGAGATTTGAGTAGGATTTTAAAAGGTGAACATAAGTTCCTGGATGTCACAAATAGTCTGCACTTGAGTACTGAACCTTTCCAGAGATCCTGCAGAAGAGGGGCCTGTCTGCTTCTATAACAGTTGTAGGCAACAGAACCTTATGGGGCAGTTCTGTTCTCTCAACACATTGAGTTGGTATGAGACAGAAGAGATTTCATGACAACAGGCTTTTTGGTTGGAGAAATGAGTAGGAGTTTACCACATAGATAAGGAGAAGGGGAGGGTTGGAAAGGAATAGAAACAGTAAAAGAGGCAACCTCTAGTGACAAAATCCATAAGTGAGTAGTGCATTCCACTTTTAAAATCAAGCCTACCACAGGGCCTGCAGGTAGGCATAAAGCTCTGGGCACAGCATAATGAAGTTACATGTTACAAATAGCATTTTAATTGGATTTGTTTCCCTTGTGCCTTGCTTTTACAGTTAGAACCAAGGCAATGTCTTACTACCTCAACTCAGAAAACCACCTGGACCCAGGACCCATCTACGTGCGAGAAAATGGGCAGCTGCACATGGTCAACCTGGCCCTGGATGGTGTCAAGAGTAGCCTGCAAAAGCCAAAGCCTTTCAGACTGTTTCCCAAAGGCTTTTCTGTGGAGCTTTGTATGAACAGGGAAGATGATACTGCACAGAAAGAGAAGACTGATCATTTCATCTTCACATACACTCGGGAAGGGAATCTTCGGTACTCTGCCAAATCTCTCTTCAGTCTGGTCCTGGGCTTCATCTCTGACAATGTAGATCACATTGATTCCCTTATTGGCTTCCCTGAGCAGATTGCTGAAAAGCTGTTCTCTGCTGCTGAAGCCAGACAGAAATTCACTGAGCCAGGTGCAGGGCTGAGGGCTTTACAGAAATTCACTGAGGCCTATGGAAGTCTGGTGCTGTGCTCCCTGTGTTTGCGAAACAGGTGGGTATTCTGATTAGGATGTTGAGTTTTCATTGGGTTTGATGATTTTATCAAGCGCTGGGGGCTAATTCCTTCATTAACCACTGTTTCACTTTAATACCGCATATGTTGTTTGTAGGTAGGTGCTGTAGAGTCTAGTACGACTCATAGCAACCCTATGAACAAAAGACTATAATCTTGTTTTATCCTGTGCCGTCCTCAAACTTCCTGACACACAAGAGCCCACTGCAGCAGTCACTGTGTCCATCCACCTAGTTGAGGGTCTTCCTCTCCTTTGCCAACCCGCCAACCTTCCCAGCATTAGTCCTTCTCCAAGAAATAGCACCATGCCCAAAGTATGTGAGGCAAAGCCTCATCATTTTCACCTTCAAAGAGCACTCTGGCTGCACCCTTTCCAAGACATATCTGTTCACTGTCTTGGCCATCCATGGGATGTTCAGTACTCTTCTCAAGCACCACAGGCATCAGTTCTGCTTCTGTCATCCTTACTCATTGTCCAGCTCTCAGATGCATTGCTAATAATCAGAAAGACCACAGCCTGTATCAGATGCACCTTA